CACTCTTGCTTCTGTACATTCTAAGGTTTTGACAAATGTATAGTGATGTGTATCCACCACTGTAGTATCAAACAGCGTAATTTTACTGCTCTAAAAATCCTCTGTGATCTGCCTAATTATCCTTCTCTTATCACTTACCCCAAGAAACTAGTGATTTTTTTTGCAGTCTTTATAGTTTTGCCTTTTTCAGAATGTGATGTAGTTGGAATCATGCAGTCTGTAGAATTTTTGATTATCTTCTGTCACTTAGCAATAGGCATTTAACTTATCTCCATGTCTTTCCATGGCTTGATTACTTTCTTTTTTGCACTGAAATATATTCTATTGTCTGAATGTACCAGAGTTCACCCACTTACCTGCTAAAGGACATGTTGATTTCTTTCAAGTTCTAGCAATTACGAATAAAATCGTTATAAACATTTGTGTGCAGGTTTTTGTAGACATAAGTTTTAATTCATTTGGCTGAATACCAATAAGTGTGATTGCAGTATTTTATGGTAAGAGTATGTTTAGTTTTTAAAGAAAATGCCAAACTGTCTTCCAAAGTGGCTGTACCATTTTGCATTCAAATCAACAATGAATGAGAGTTTCTGTTGCCCTAATCCTTGCCAGCATTTGGTGTTGTAAGTGTTTTGGGTTTGGGCCATTCTAACAGTTGTGCAGTCATATCCCATTTTTGTTTTAAATTGCAATTGCCTAAGACATATTGAACATCTTTTCATATACTTAATTGCCACTTTTATATCTTCTTTGGTGAGGTGTCTGTGCAGGTCTCTGGCTCATTTTTTTAAAAATTTGGTTCTTAGTTTCCTTATTTTTTATTAGATTGGTGCAGATGTGACTGTGTTTTTTGTCATTACTTTCAATGACAAAAACTGCAATCACATCTGCACCAACCTAATAAGAGTTCTTAATATATGTTAGATAATAGTACTTTATCAGATGCAAATTTTTTTCCCCAGAATTTGGCTTCTCATTTTCTTGACATCATCTTTTACAGAAAATAAGTTTTTAATTTTAGTGGATTCAATCTTCTCAATAATTTTATTCATGGATCATGCCTTAACGTTATATCGAAAAAGTCATCTGCACACCCAAGTTCATCCAGGCTTTCTCCTATGCTATTTTCTAGAAGTTTTATAGTTTTGAGGGTTCAGTTTAGACCCATGATTTACTTTGACTTAACTTTGGTAAAAGATGTAAGGTGTATGCCTAGGTTTATATTATTGCATGTGGACGTCCAGGTTTTCTACCACCATTTGTAGAAAAAGACTATCTTCACTTCATTGTGATGCTTTGCTCCTTTGTTAAATATCAGCTGACCATATTTATGTGGGTCTATTTCCGGGCTCCCTATGCTGTTCCACTGATTTATTTGTCTATTCACTTACCAATACCACACTGTCTTAATGAATAGCTTTATAGTAAATCTCTAAGTAGGGTAGTGTCAGTTTCTGACTTTGTTATTCTCCAATATTAATGTAACTATTCTAAGTCTCATTAGAATTGGTTCGTTGATATCCACAGAATTGCTTGCTGGGATTTTGTTTTGTATTGAATCTCATAGATCAAACTGGAAATAACTGCCATCTTGACTATATGGTGTCTTCCAGTCCATGACCACAAATTATGCTTCCATTATTTGGTTCTTTTGTGATTTCTGTCATCTGAATTTTGTTTTCTTCATACAGATTGTGTACATATTTTGTTATACTTATAACTAATATTTTATTTTTGATGGATGCTAATGTAAATGATAATGTTTTTAATTGGAAATTCCACTTGTTCATTGCTGGTATATAGAGAAGTGATTGACTTTTGTATACTAACCTTGTATCCTGCAACCATTCTATAATAGCTTATTAGTTTCAGAAGATTGTTGTCATTTCTTTTGGGTTTTCTACATATATTATCATGTTGTCTGCAAAAAAATGAGTTTTATTTCTTCCTTCCCAGTCTGTATACATTTTATCTCATTTTCTTGCCTTATTGCACTAGCTGGGACACACAATACAATGTTGAAAAGCCATGGTGACACAAGGAACTCATTGCTTTTTTCCCAATTTTTGTGAGATAGCATCCAGTTTCTAAGCATATATATATATAATATATATGTCATAAATTTTATTTTTTTAGATGTTCTTTATCAAGTTGAGGGAGTTCTCCCTCTTTACCTAGTGTCTTGAGGGTTTTTTTATCATTAATGAATGTTGACATTTGTCAAATATTTTTTCTGTATCTATTGATATAGTCATGTGATTTGTCTTCTTTTGTCTGTTGACATGATAGATTAAATTGATTTTCAAATGCTGAACTGGCCTTGCATACCTGGGATAAATCCCACTTGGTTTTGTCATGTATAATTTTTTTCATGTGCGTTTTTGTCTGGTTTTGATATTAGGGTAATGTTGACCTCATAGACTGAATTCGGAAATACTCCCTCTGCTTCTATCTTCTGGAAGAGATTGTGTAGAATTGATACAATTCATTCCTTAAATGGTGTCAGTGAACTCATCTGGTCCTGATGCTGTTTTGGAAGATTATTATTGATTCAATTACCTTAATATATATAGGCCTTTATCCATTAAAGAAAGGCAGGTATAGGACTATTTATATTGTTGATTTCTTTTGGTGGGAGTTTTAGCAAATTGCATCTTTCAAATAATCGGTCCATTTCATCCATGTTAACTAATTTGTAGACAGAGGGTTGTTAATAACATTCCTTTATTTCCTTTTTAATGTCATTGGGATCTGTAGTGATGTCTTCTGTTTCGTTTCTGACATTTGTAATTTGTGCCTTCTGTCTTTTTTTTCTTAACCTTTCGAGAGGCTTATCAATTTTATGAATTTTTAAAGGAACTAGATTTTAGTTTATTTTATATATATATATAAAATTTAATTTGGAGTTCTTTAAAAAATAATATATCAGAACATATACATAAGATTTTCAGTCAATAAAATTTTTCCATTTATAGAAAATAACATATTAGAATCAATATACCAAAAGGTATACTAATCTTCAGAGAATAAAAATAATTTGGGTTACCATTCATTATAGTTGCAGGGGGGAAAGAGCAATTGATGTGAGATATCTCTATAGAAATATTTTCTAGTAGAAGAAAATAGAATAACGCTTTTAAGATACCCAAGGAAAGAAAATATGAGCCAAGGACATTATACCCAGACAAATTGTACTTCATGTACCAAAGCAATACACAAAGTACTAGGAACTGGCAAGAACTCAAGACATTGCTTTCATAACCACTTTTTGAATAACTTAAGAGAATGGTGTCCCAAGCAAATAAGAAATAACTGGAAAAGCTTCAGCATAAATTCTGGTGGATTTCACTAAACATACTTCATTGTAGAAAACAAGTTTAATAGAGATAAGGGAGCAGGTTATGTATAGTGCTTTATATTTTGCAAAGCACATTTATATACTCAATTTTATTTTACATTTCCTAATAGTTCTGTAATGTTTCCAAAGATTAGAAACATTACATTTGACAAATGAGTAAATATAGTAAACGAGGTAAAATGATTTTCCTAAGTTTATAAAACCAGAAAGTGGCTGAGTCAGAGCTTGAACTCAAATCTTCCTTCTCACAAGTAAAGCTGTAAAGGGGAATAATAAGTAGGTTCAGGGATGGTGAATAAATCACTTGTTAAGTGAGCAAGATTTACACAGATAAGATGTACGAAATTATTTTTTTAAAGTAAGCTGAACCCAAATATCAAGAGCTTTGACAACTACGAAAGCCCTAAAATATCTAAGCAGAGAAGTGATATGGTGTAGGGGTATTTGAAGAAATTAAATCTAAAGTCAGCTTGCAGAAATAAATGAAAAAGGACATTAGAAAGAAGAATTCTTATGAGGATGCTTTTACCATTGTTTCTATCTAAATCGCCCAGTTTCTAGGTTCAAAAGTACTGGTGTGAAAGGAAGGCAGAAACAAATGTCAGAGGCATTTTGTCATGAATTTATTAAATCCCTACCAAAATAATTCTCAACTGTGTGTCAGAGAATTTATGAACCAGAAACTCTTGGAGAAATGACACAGAAAAGGTAAATCTGATAAACACCTAAGTTTGAGAACCCATGAACTTTACACTGTGGCAGGAATAATTAATTTTAGTGACTAATTGAACACAGAAGTAAGGATGCATATAAAATCAAGGCAATTCCAAATTTTTAAGCCTGGGAGACTTTATCCCAGGAAAATGAGAATAACTTTGTCATTATTATTATTATAAAAAATAACCTATAAATTCTGCTAATTCCTGCTGTGTTAAATTTAAAATTCACTGAAACATAATGCCTAGGGGTTAGAAAGTTTATAACAGATGCAATTAAAACATTTATTGGCATATATAAACTCAAGGAAATGAGACATAGCAATTTAAGAGACATGGCAGAGTAATTAAAATGGATTACTCTATATCTACCTATAGTTACAGAAAAAGATAATTTTAAAAGTAGAAAAGGTGCAATATTTGAAGAGGTAATAATTACAAAATTTTCAGGATTAATGAAAGACAAGAGTTCCTTTGCTCACTGCGAACACCTATGAGGCAATGAATGAATACTCTGGCCATTAATTTCCTATTTTTGAAGTCTATGTATTTTTACCTTGTCAAAGCATTAACATGGGCATACTGTTAGCCTTGTTCTTATCATCTGAAGATAAAATGAGAGTATAAAAACATGCTTTGCAAAACACTACACAATATCAATTCATTTGTCTTTATTTTAATATTTCTTTCTAATTCTCTTGTCATTCAAGGCGCAGTTGGGTTTTTAGAGTATTTTTTATTAATGTCAATCATTAGGCCCTTTGTTCACTGACACGCATTTCTGTTTATATAGACTTCAACTATTAAAAATGGTGACACATTTTTTGAATCAATTTCAATTTGTAATCACTCCTCTTGTCATCTTACCTAGAGAATAAATACACTAAGGTAGTGAATTTCATCTTATTACCACTCCTTCCAAAACAGAAACTACATCTAACAAGTACCCAATGTTTGATGGCTTTATTGATTTTCTTCTGAACAGTTTCCTTTGGATTTTCCCATTAAAAATGTGGCAGCATTTATGTCATTGTTCCAACTGCAGGTGGCACTGACTGACTTAATTTGTCAGTTCTGTTCTTGGTTATTCTTTCTTAACCTGGAAGTGAACAGAATACTACACATCATGAATCATCCTGAAGAAAACGCCGGAAAAATAGTTCCTTTGAGGGAGCAGTTTCATGTGGGAAACCATTCTCTCTTTTTATCTATTGTGCTCCTAGGAGTCCAGCCAGGACCACATCTGTTTAGTTTATTTGATATATCTTAGTGTCTACTATGGTGAGGTGAATATGGAGATATTTGATAAATAATGTATCTTGATGGTTGTGGCTATCATCATTAGGGTGATTATGTAACCTATTCAAGGGTTTTGATGTTTTGACCTCATGGTATGATTTGTTTTGTTTCTAGATTTCTCTTTATTAATGGAGGCCTTGAATGAATTACATTTGTTTAAGCATTCAGAGAGTCATAAGAAAGACCTATAGAGGTCACCAGTCTATATATGTTATTTCACACAGGAAGGAGTTTAAAGAACAGGGAGGTCTGACTTGCTCAATATAAAGCATGTAGTCAGTTTCAGTTCTAAGACTTAAAAAGCAGGTCTTGTGATCCTAAACACAGTATAATTTCTACTACACTAAAATTAGAAATTGCCTTTGCTATTACAAAAATGGTAATGTACAGCTCTGATTCTAAATCGTGTTTTAGAATTTTGCTTTAGAATTCACAATGAAGGACAAAGAATAGAGAAGTGAAAATCACTTGACGTATTTCTTCCCAATTTAGAGATTTTGACAGAGTGGGTGGGTCCATCCCATTTTATCAGGCATTATGGAATAGTAATAAAATCCTGAGCTAAGAGAATACAACTGAATTAAAGCTAGTTGGGTAGCCAGTTTCAACCTCAGCTGACAAAGGAAACTGACAGAATGTAAGTGAAGAGAACTTCAGGGTGTGTGTTAATATTGGCTGAGAGGAATTAAAAAAAAATAGAAACTTAACTCCCTGTTGAGATGGCTAGTATTAAAAGCAAATCTTCTTTATAGTGATCTGGATATCAATTTCTGTTGGGGTTCAGAAAAATGATTGGGGATTTCAAAATATACAATATAATGTATATTCTGACATTAATGATTTTCATCAACTGAGGTAAAGAGATGGAGTATAAGATGAAAATCCTATATATCCCAATGTCAGCTTGATGCACAATGCAGCTACCATAACAAACCTCAAAAGACATTTGTTCATGTGGTTAATTTTGCAGCCAAATGTTTTATTTCATAATTCTGGAAGTCAACCAATTCTCTGTTCCCTTACTACATTTCAACACTGAATAAATACAATGCTGGACCTGGCCCACTGAAAACGACCTGCTATCACTCATACAGGCAAAGCCATGATTCTGAATTGATTTGGTCCTCCTTCTGGATTGTGGTAGGGAAAATAAATGCATGTGGTGACTTATGACTGTTTCTTCAGGTGACTTGCACCTTGGCTCACTTGATTTGTGCTGATGGGACCACAGAGAGACTTTTATCTGCTTCCCAGCCACCAAAGGTCAAGCTATTTTCATGCTTCTCCGTCTCATTTTCCTTCCTTCTGGGATTGGTACTGTTTTTGCAGGCTCTATATTATTGTCACATCTACTTTTTTTCAACCCATATTTACTTTTTGATTATTGTAAGTCCCTCTTAAATATAGTACAAACCTATGTAATTATTTTACAAAGAAAGAAACATTATGTAAGGCCTTTACTTTCCCCCTGATATCCGCCAAGTTGAACCGCTTGCTATTCTCCAAAGGTATGACACCCTTTCATCTCTTTTTGCTTTTATGTATGCTGCTTCATGTGCCTAGAAGGTTCATTCTTTCTGTTCCTGGCTAATTTCTATTACCCTTCAATATTTAACTTAGCTACCACTCTACCAGAAAATCTTTCCTGACTCATTCGGTCTGAATTCAGTGCCCCTACATTGCACTTGCAAAGTAAATGCCATGTTGGCTTATTATTCTATTTTTCACACTGTATTGTTATTGCCATTTTATTGCTCTCACACATCCTTCCAGCACTCTATAAGCCAAATCAGAGCAATTACTGGCTTCTTTTTCTTTCTTTTGCCTGGGCCAAGCATAGGGCGTGGGACACAGTAAGTATATAATACATGGCAGATGAATAAATGCATGGACATTTAAAACAAGATTCAGCTGTTCATCACTTAATTTTTTTAAATACTGAAAAGAGTTATTGGTATAGATAGAAGAAAATTATATAAGAAGACATGAGGTATGACCTAGACAAATCTTAACTTCCCTCCTCATTTTAATTTACTCATATGTGAAATAAAGCTATATGTGATTTATAATGACAGAAACAATTCTTAGAGACAGATTACATTTTTTTCATAAGAGACAGTGAAGTGGTGTGACAGTTTATATGCAATTGAACACTACATATTAAATCTCTAATAAGTGTTTGTCACTATGTAATATTGACAGCACTTTTAAAAAATTATTCAGAGCTGAGCTAATAATAATAATAATAATAAGTATTCATATAAATAAGTGTTGTAACCTTAACAAAACCAATTTGGTGGAGACCACAGGTGACATGTCAATGTCTATAGAGAAAGGAAACTATGACTTAGGATGATCCTAGAAAGAGGTGCTATAGAAAAGGAATTTCACAATTTGAGGGCTGAGGACCAGCAAAGGCTAATTTAATTACAAAACCGAATGGGTTCTTAGGGTCACCAATCTCCTTTGATTTAGAACAATTTCAGTTGAGGTTTGATGAATTGTACCAAATTAAAGAACTCACATAGTCCTTCCCTGGAAGTAAAGTCTCTCAATCTGGTACTTTTCTCACTGTAACATCTGACCTGCAATATAATAAACTAAGGCTACCAGCTAGTACTAACAAAGCACATGTAAAGCCAAAGGTAGGGGGAAAAAAGTGGAGCACATGTGAAAACTCCATACCTAAAGAGCACATGTAGCCTCAAAACTCCAGCTAGATATTTTAGACAAAATTTGGGCATATATTTCAAATGCTATGTGAAGTAAATGTCTACTTTTTTTTCACCCAGCATCACTTTCTTTATTATAAGAGAACTCTAATTTTACTCAATAAACTGTCTCTTCCAGCCTCAATCTTTATAGTAATAGCTTGTGTCACAAGCTTCTTGATCTAGGAGCAACCTTGTTGCTGATCTGTGTATTTCTAAATTTATTGCCCCAGAGTCATAGGCAGTTGAAGAGTAAATGTTATAAAGTGGGTAAAAGAATATATTTCTCCTGTCTAACTTTTGGGAGCTCTGAGATCTGACTGTTGAAGATTATCATCTATTTTATAATAGACGATATTTATATTATAAATATAGCATATTTATGTCAAATACAGTTGACCCTTGAACAACTCAGGTTGGAATTGTGTGGGTCTACTTATGCACTGATTGTTTCAATAAATATACTGGAATTTTTAAAAGATTTCCAACAATTTGAAAAAACTTGCAGGTGAATCTCAATAGCTTAGAAATATTGAAAAAAATAAGAGAAAGTTAGGTATAGTCATGAGGGCATAAAATATACATAGATATTAGTTTATTTTATCATTTACCACCATAAAATATGCAAAAATTTGCAATAAAAAGTCAAGATTTATCAAAATATATACACACAAACACAGACCATACATGGTGTCAGTTGTAGCTGAGAGAAATGTAAACAAACATAAAAATGCAGAATGAAATCATAACAGAATAAAATTAACTATAGTACATATTATACTACTGTAATAATTTTGTAGCAATCTCCTGTTGCTATTGCAGTGAGATCTGTTTAAGATGCCATATGATGCTAATCATCTCCAGTAAATTGCATATCACAGAAAAAAATGATCTCACAGTTCTTGTGTATTTCATATTTTTCATCATGCTTAGTGCAGTACTGTAAACCTTGATTAATGCCATTGGATCCCTATGAAGTGTCACTAGTAATGCTGGAAGTGCTGCCAAGAAGCAGAGAAAAGTCATTACACTATATAAAAAAGTTGACTTGCTTGATATGTGCAGCAGGCTCAGGTCTATAGCTGCAGTTTCCCATCATTTCAATAGAAATAAATTCAACATGAGGCACACTGTGAAAAACAAGGAGAAGAAGAAAGGGAGGGAAGGAAGAAAGGGAGGGGAGGGATGGCACAGAGGGGAGGGCAGGTGGGGTAGAGAGAGAGGAAGGAAGGAAGGAAGGAAGGAAGGAAGGAAGGAAGGAAGGAAGGAAGGAAGGGAGGGAGGAAGGAATTAACTCATGAAGCTGTTGTTTAGCAAGTATAAAAACCTTGCACTTTTCGCAAAATACTTTTAAATTTCACATTGAAAATTCAGTTTATATGCGAGTACAGGATTACTATGAAAGTATATCTATAGACTCTAAATTTATTTTTTTTAAGGAAGTCATTATGTGACATCTTAAAATGAAAGTCTCTAAACTTGGAGAATTTAATGCCAGCAACGGATGGTTTGATAATTTAGGAAGAGGTTTGTCTTAAAAAAAAATCAAGATAACAGGAGAAGCAGCTTCAGTTAATCAAGAGGCTGTAGACGAGTTCCCAGAGGTGTCATAAAGAAAATTATTCAAGAGGGCCAGGCACGGTGGCTCATGCCTGTAATCCCAGCACTTTGGGAGGCCAAGGTGGGCAGATCACAAGGTCAGGAGATCGAGACCATCCTGACATGGTGAAACCCCGTCTCTACTAAAAATATGAAAAACTAACTGGGCATGGTGGTGGGCGCCTGTAGTCCCAGCTAGTCGGGAGTCTAAGGCAGGAGAATGCCATGAATCTGGGAGGCGGAGCTTGCAGATAGCACCACTGCTCTACAGCCTAGGCAACAGAGCGAGACTCCATCTTGGAAAAAAAAAAAAAAAGAAAGAAAAGAAAATTATTGAAGAGAAAGAATATTTGCTCCAACAGATTTTTAATGCAGACAAAGGTGCTCTATTTTGGGTAAAACAATGCCATAAAGAAAATTTACTAGGAAGGAAAAGAAGCAAGTACCACGACTTCAGGGAGGAAGAAAAAGGGTTAACTCTACTGTTTGT